CACTGGTGGCTCCACTAATGCCTACCATTGAACTGTTACCACTGCAGCTCTCTCTGTTATGTCTCTCAGGATCAGGACTGTGAGCTCTTGGTCCAAAAGCCACTGACCCAATCTGCATAGAATTCCTCTCATTTACATTTCCACAGAACAGCATTCAAAACACTCATAAGCTGTGACAAACTGAATTCTAATGGTAAGTGAAAGTGACCAACTCAGTGAACTGTACTTATACTAGATACTGTCTACTGACTGCTGTATAATTAATATACACTGAATTTCAAGAGTTGGCTGAATTCTCATTTTATTTTTGAAATTGGTAGCAGTGGTCAGGACTGAAACCAAAATTCTTTCAACACCAATTTTGTATGCTATCCACCAGAACACTGGGGCTGACATATAACATTAGTATTCAAAGAGTTGTGGGTTTGATCCCACCCACTTCCACTAACATAAACAATAAATACTAAACACATAACTCAATCTGCAGTATCCAACATATTCATAATTACAGTGCAATATTTGTTGGTATATATCTTTGTTCTGATGTAATATTTTTAATTCAGTGTAGGGCAAAGTATAATTATTATTCCTAAAGCAGTTATATCAAACACAAATAGGAATCATAAAAATAATTACAAATGTAAATACAGAGAGATTCAAACTAATTAAAATCACAGTAAATCATCAAGATACTGTTAATGAAAGTGTCATGCTGCGATCAAAATCTAAACAAATTCATGTATGAACAAGACATAACCACATGTTACACATTTCATAAAACATTTTTGTCTTAAAAATAATTATAAGCTGAAAATTGTTAAAACATTAAAATGTATATGATTATTTTTATACATACCACTCTCTCCTTCTCCTTGACATATGATGTGATAAGATCATGGAGGAAGAAAAATGCCTCGGCATCTACCGTCACAAAGATGTGATCGTCGAATTCTGTGATAAAGCTGCACTCAACTAGAGGTTTCTCACCTATTATTATATCACAGAAAAATTTATGTGATAATACATAATTATGATAAAGTTTTATAAAAACTTAATTGATGAACAAAATGATAATCAATGCTTCTTGATGAAAATGCATGACACCCAAAGTTTTGTTTCCTACAATTCTGTAAAATTCACCAATTTTTATGTAATTTTATTGACATAATAAAAGTTCAGTATCACGTGCTTATTGACACATGTTTGCACAATTCTGTGAATTTAGAGATGTCATCACAAGCAGAAACATTAAAAAAACACAAATAACATGTATAACAAAAATTAATGCAATTTGATAATTATGGCCATTCAGAAATAATAAGACAGTAAGGCACATTCTTATAAATGAATTTTAAAATGTTTGTTTCTTGAATTCTGTTGCAATACGGGTTTCCTTTACAGTGAAATGGTGATACAACTGCAGGGAACCATATAACATTTGCCACTTAAAGTGTAAACTACACTTTGCAAACAGTGAATGCATGCATGAAGGTTGTGTCTGTTCAACTGTCCATGTAACTCATCTCTGAATCTACTAAATATATTCGCATGAAATGTACTACTGGTTGAAAGTTGTCAGGAAAAGCTAATATTAATTTGTGTTAGTACAATATAACCACTACTTCACATGAAACTAAAATTAAACTACATTCAATTTCATGTTTCAGCAGTGTAATATCCATTATGTGATTAGTTTGCAACAACAAATTTGTATCTGCAATAAATGAATATCAAAGAAGACAAAGTATGCAAAATCATAACTATACTCCTGGAAAATATGTAGAGTATCAAAGATTATCTATCTGAGTTTTACACATTTTACTGTCTCTACAAAAGCAAAACATTACAAAAAGACTAAACAAATAAACCCACAGACTAGCAACAGTCTGGGTACTTAATGCTGTGAAAGCTGTAACAGAATATTACTTGCACAGTATATGTTGGTTATTAGTATGAAGAAAAGATCAGAAAGGTAAATTACTTTCAGTTATGTAATTTTCACAACTGTGACTATTTTAGTGACGTTCAGCTTTTGTTTTGTGTGTATGTGTGGTTGTGTGTGTGAGAGAGAAAATTAATTCTCACCATTTATTCTGATTCACATTAACATACCAGCAACATCAGGAGTCTTTGCTGCTTGAAGATGTTCAGTCTTCAGATGCAACTGCAGTGATGGCAATGCAAATATCACTTCTCTTGTGTGATTTGGATCTTGGAGCTTACTACTGCTGCTGCTCCGGGATCGCTGCTGCTCGGAACAGCTCTCCAGTCTCTCCCTCTCCAGACTTGGAAACCGATCCACTGCTGCAAATAAATGGCATTCACAGCTATAAATACATCTTCTAAAATTCCATTACAGAATTAACTCTGAGGTTTGAGATTCTCATGGCAATGAAGATGACCTCAGAAATGTCAGGAACAGGTCACATCCAAGAAGATCATGATTGACAGCCATTTCTATATTGATGTGTCTTCTTTAACAATTTGATGCTTACTAAGCTGATAAAAGCACTTGGTTGTATCATGAGTGAGTTCAATGCAATAAATATTTCTACACCCTATTTCACAAAGATTCACTTTAACATTATTCTTTCATCTACACCAAAGTATTTTCCCTTCAGGTTTTCTGCATGCCTTTCCTAACATAACAGTTTTACAAAATGGAAAGTCCCAAAAGTGAAAGTCATTCATGGTTTTGTGTTGTTATTACTTTATAACATAAGTCATACAAAACCTACTGAAATAATTGGTCCTTTCATCATTCCATGGCAATTTAACTGTGTGTGCTATTCCTGCAGAGCTATAGAATTATATTTAGGGTTCATTTATTCCACATCACATATTCATCTGAAGATGGAGTATCATATTCTGAAATAAATTCTGGTTGTACTAACAAAAATCAGTAACAGATTGTACAGACAATATAATTTAATAAGTGATATTAATTTATGCCTCTGTACATGTCTCTAATATTTCTGCTTTTACTGTCTGTTTTAAGCTCTTTAATTTTTTCTTTTACATATTTCCTAATTTTGTTCCTGAAAGTTCTATTAGTTTCATGTCTTACAATGTTCAGATCCCCATTAATCTTGCCTGGATTCTGCAACCATTTTAATTTATGCTGGTTCCTTTCACCCAACAATTTTGAACACTTTGTCAAACCAAGTTTTATGCTTTTAACTCACAATGATCTAGGCTTTCTTCGCCTGAAGATTCCAACATGACAATTTTTACTCCAAGGGTTAACCAATCGCTTACCATCAATCTCACTGCTAGCAAATGCATAATGGAACCATTCTTGCAGAGTACGGAACTGCGGAGGGAACAACACATTGCGACTCATGCGGCACACAGTAGCCATGCTGTGGTGCTGAGCATGAGGATGCTCTTCCATCATTCCCAGACTGAATGTTAGAGTCTGGACCACATGAACATCAAGCTGATCATTGACTGAGGAACAAAACAGTATTGTTACATCTGGAGGCAAATGTGAAACAATGACCATGGTTTTCAATTGTGTTCAAAGTGATCTAATTGGGTTCTTTAGAAATGCTTCTCTCTTATACAGGAGTATAAAAAATTGAACACTGAAAAAATTCTGTTTGATTTAGAGAATGCCAAACAATTAAATAAGAAGTTAATGTAAATAGCAAGTGGTAAAGCTCAGTAAATCAGAATCATTTCTATTGGCCAAACCTTGAAATGTAAATATTAATACTGACTTCCATCATAGTAAAGCATGATCTAACTTTTTGCTTTGAAGAGTTACTTACAGAATCAAGAATACTTTAACCTATTTGATACAAACACCTCTGTTTTGTCACAAAGAAAGAACATGTTTGACATAATATAACTTTTTTTTTAAAAAAATGCTCAACTTGAGATGATTTCTAACGTGCATCAACAATGATGGCACACACATGGACAAAGCAAAATTAAAAGGCACTCATAATCAGTGTTAAATTCACCTAAAAAGAACAATTTTTTTTAACCTTACTTCAAAAGCAGTGGAAAAGCACAGTCTGTCTACTAGTTCAAAAATTTATAAGCTAGATTGCTCTTCATATCCATAAAATGGCTTGTACTTTGTTCCTTTCATCCTTACTTTTTTTCCAGTCACCCACCCATCCATCCACATATAATAGAATGTGCAAGTTCACTGTTGTCATATTAAAGGGACCAAAGTCAGCTTGATTTAATCAACATCAAAACATAATTCCTCAACACTGAGGCATATCAAAACCTCTAATGATAGACACTTTGCACTCTTCAGCACTTACATTCTGCTGATGGAATCTCCTGGGCTTCAGTTGCAAATGAGATACATGGTTCTTTCAATGAAAACAATGCCCATGACTTTGACTTGAAATTGATACCATGGAAGCAAGCTAATGAAATGTTCTTTCCATGAAGTTCCATTGTTCCTCCAAGTACAGTACCAGACACTGGCAATGGAAAACTAAGTGTGGACAGATGCAGGCCACCCACTTGACCCAAAACATGCTGCCAGTGACGATGGTGTCTTGCATCCTGCAGAGCAGAGCTTGCCCAAGTATGAGAATTTGCTGTTAGAAACACAAAGAGAAATATTCAGTAGAACTATTACAGTTCCACAGAGAACTCAAGATATCAACTGAACTTACTACTATTGCTACACTACCATTAAATTTGCTTTACCTCTGAGATAAGAGCAGATAGTTCACTCTGAGAGCCACAGAATATTTAAACAATTATTATAGAAAATGTAATTAAGATAAATATTTTGATAAACATTTTAGTTCCTTGTTTTTCCTGTCACCAATACCTTCTCATTTTAAAAGACAACTACATTGTAGTGGCCAGAGGGTGAAGGCCACATGGATGCAGTTGAGTCAGAGTTTTGGGCAGCATTTTAGCCTTTCACTATGCCCAATATCAGTATTAAGAAGAACAAGGGGCTAAACAGATAAAAGACAACAGAATTCATAAAGATCTATATTTGGAATGAAAATAAAAAGGACTACTGTTACAGCAAGGACACAATGTAAGGGGTGATGCAGATATTGGAATGATGTTTTCAATTTGGAAATGTGGGAGGACAGAATGTAATGGAAACTTCTGTGAAAGAGTCACACCAACGAATATGGACAGCATCTACAAAGGGACAAGTAGCCACTGAATGTACACAGTTTAAAAAAAAGGTCAACAGATGCCAATTCCTATAAAGTTAAAATGGAACAGGAAAGACCTCTGCTGGTAAGACTGGAGCTTTATAAATGTACTGGACCTTAATATTTAAGATGTATCTGTTTTTATAAACAAACACAGATGTGGCAAACCCAATTATGATAATCATAGATAATTATGCATATGATGTGGTAGGTTGTCAGCATGCAAAGAGGGCCAGAAGAGAACATGAAAGAGATGATTACAGAAGTGGTATAAATGGCAGAGGAAAAATGAGAGAAAGAAAAACCTGAGAGCCCTGTTTGCAATCTCTCGTCAGGATGTAGACTGACCTACCTCAATGGGAATATAAAAATAATGTTATGCAGAGTGAACTAAGATTAATAAATTAAATATGGTAATGACAGACCATCTCAATGCCTGATTGGAAAATGTTAACAGGATGTTTACAGTACAGTCAAACATTTTAAACTACTGGAATGCTGACCATCCCCAGCAGACTTCTTCTTTGCATGAGGCTGTTTCTTCTTAAAGCTGCTGTTTTTGGAATGTGTCCGTGGCTGCAGGCTTGAAAACACACGTTTGCTGCTTTTGAACTGCTGTGAGAAAAATTCCTCTAGCTTGTAGAACATTTTCAGCAGATCAGCTGTAGTTGATTTGGAGATCATGAGTTGCAACTGATCCCAACCCAAATCTCCATGCATGAATATCATTGCTGGTCTAAAACACAGTATGTAAATAAGACTGCAAAGTGTACAGTGTTCATTTAACTGGTGGGTTTGGCAGAAGGGATTATAAATGACATGCTAACATCCATGGAGTTCAAAGTAAATTAAATAATAATTACAGTGGGAAATTAATGTATATGAATAAACATTCAATACCAAAATTTCATTCTACATTGTTATTACACACACTAAAAGAAATGTAAATATACATATAACTTTTTAAATATATATTTCCAAGTCATACTGTAATATATCACTGAATTAAAAGAATAAAACAAAATTTACTTCAATGTATTGCACTCTCAATCAAATCTTTTATTTGCTTATTTTTATTCGTGTTGGTATCAGGGCTGTGGAGTCGGCACTAAAACCTCCGACTCCAAATCCTTCATAAAAGCGCAATATGTATTAATAATGGTAAAATTACCAAAATGGCAAATGGTACTATAAGAGATTTCATCACCATCACCATCACCACCACCACATGAATCATCAGGCTACTTTTTAGACTTATAACCTATATTTAAAATTTAGACTAATGGTTATTGCAGAAATTGGTTGATTTGTAGACAGTTTGTATTCTTATGGTACCAGGTCCAAAGTTACAAAGCATTATTCCCACACCATGTGGCTCAACACATCATTCAATCCCCCTAAGTGTGAGGCCGCCGGCAGCTCACACAGTAGCGAAAGTGTTAAAATAGTATTTTCTTAAGATTTTATAGCGGAGTCGATATATTTTTACCGACTCTGACTCCAACTCCACAGCCCTGGTTGGCATAAAATAACCTACTCTAACAAGATTACATCTAGAAACTTTCATGCTCTAACATACAGTGATCAATAAAGTTGTCCAATTTAATTAAAATTAAATGGACTCAATTAAAATATGTTACCTGTATTACATGACTTATATTTTTGATAATTTTATAAATATTCCCATATCCATAGTAATAATTCGGCATTGGAGGAGCCACCATACGTCTTACAAACAAAGCAGTAAAAAGGTTAATGTTGTGTTAAATGTATATGGTAAAATCTCACTAATTTGAACCCTGTTAATCCAGATATTGCATAATCTAGCAAGTTATAGGTCAGTCAGTTACACGTGGCCATACTTGTTCAATTGTTTGTTGCTATATATATATAGTGAAGATATTCATAATAAGTAAATCTCCAACTTGGAGCACTTTAGCTATATAATTTACCACATCCTGCTTGTAATGCAATCTTATAGATAATTACACTAACCTCCTAGTAGGAATAAAGTTTTCTGAAGTTTTCTTGCTACGATTAATCTTCCACTCATCACGAAGAGAGACAGACAATGAACTGACCCGACACATGAGCACACCAGTTCCCATGTAATCAAGCCGTAGCTCTAGTGCAAACAGTTTAAGTCCAACAGTATGATCTGGTTCAGTTCCAGGGTCCTCTCTTATATGAACTGCAACAATCAATATTTAAATAGAATTACTTCTCATTGCAAAACAAGGAAAGAAAATAAAAAATTTCTTGGAATTACATATTTTGACACAAAAACTCTGTATGCATTTGTCCCCTCCATCAGAACTATATTTATAATTAATCACAATCTCACTGATTTTATTACCCTAACAAAACTAGCTCCTTGTTACATATTATTCTATACAGTCCACTTTCTTCATCCCTATGAAAGAAAAATGCATGAAACATTTTGGTTGGAAAATACCGAGGGAAAAGTGCACTTGCAAGGCAAAAACATAGATGAGAGAATAATATTAAAATGGACATTTACTCACTGAATGTATCAATCTTGCTTAGTTCAATAGTTCCACCAACTATTCCCCCCTTTGCATCCAAACTTGATCCTCCAAGTCCCACACCTATATACATGTTCTTATGTCCCGTGCTGCCAATGGAGAGGCGACCCTCAGACCTGAAGTCTTTGGTAAGCCACCTGTAAAAATGACATAAAAATTACAATGTGTACACCACACATAATGTATATAATAATCTTTACAAATGGACCTTCCCAAAAACAAAACTAGTACCCGTTTCTTAAGACAAACAATTAACATCTAGTAATCACATAAAATCTACTTGTCCACTGCAAAGGTACATCAATAATGCACCTGCCTCTGACCTTCATAAACTCTTTGCTGTGCTTGTTGAATTCAATCTACCCTGATACTATAAAATAATTTAAATTCACTTTCTTGCACTACATTTTAAGCATATTAAGCATGATAGAGTACATTTCTTTCCCCTATGGCCTAACATATTAGGCACAGAAAATAGTTTACTAGTCTGTGGCAAGTGGTCAAGACTTGAAACCAGTGACTATCCTGCTAAGTAGGACACTGTGCTTTACTGCTACCAATGGGGCTACTAGCAGATTAGAAGGAACAGGGATGCACACCGATTAGTTAAAGGCTGCAGTGAAAGCGTCGCCTTGGCAACCACCTCATTTACATACATACAGCTAACGAGACTGACATGGTAGGGTAGCTGCCCACAACTCAAGCTTGGACACATCATATTAAAATATTCATGATATCAGAATTAGCATAAAATACTAAACATCCAACTACTATGTTCTTCAGATTTAATGTATAATTTGAAGTAACAAACTTACGTAACATTACCCATTACATTGCCCATGTTCATATGAACATTAAGCCGAGTGAAATTGACAGCAAATAGGACCAAGGTTTCCCAGGCTGAACCAGACTTCTGTTCTGAAGGGCTTGGTGTATCTGGTTTGTTCTGCATTCGCCCACAACTACCCTCTGGTTTGAAACATTTAACAGTAATATAGTATTAAAATCTTCATATCTTGATCTCTTTCATACAAATAAATATGCCAGTAATCAGATATCAATGAAATGTGGAAATATTTTTAAGCACATTGTTTCTGGAATTGATACAAATAAGACATTCAAGTTAAAACATAAGAATTATGTTTATTTCAACCTAAATTGTTCCCTAATTCTTTTAATAAATAATAATAATTTTTCGTAATTTTTACATTTCATGAAAAAGGATTCATTACATTAGCATGATGCTGTGTACCATTTTTTATGTATGTGTACTTGTGGGTGCACATGAGCGCACACTCGCATGCGCATGAATTAGAAATCCAGTAGGAAATGGCAAAGGTTAAAATTCAGTACAAAGGCTTAGTTTCTCCACAAAAACGTCCCTGCTCTGTGCCAGCAGCCTGTTCTATCCCGTCACTACAAACACTGGTTGCAAAACATTTCCGCTAGGTCTGAATGATCATCACAGGGTAAATGATAAGTTCACCCTTACTTCACTGCTAAGCAATGCACAGATAAGAATAAGAAGAAAAAATAATGGGGAGAGAGATGGATTTAGAACCAGTAAGCAATAAAAATGAAATTAATTCCTTTACAAATCTGCCTGTTTTTTGTATTATCATTATCGTATCTTCTAATCTTAATGAAAATTTATAATAAAACTTTTCAGACTCAAAGCACTAAACGTAACACATTCAATGGGTCATTCAGACTCTAGCTATTTATTACATTAATATAGAGCACTGCAAACTGTGTGCAACATTCATGAAACTAAAATTATATATTCAAATGGTTCACCTCTAAACTTTGAATGTTGAGAGATATCATTTTCCAAACTTAACCTAAGACGCTCTCTGGTTGGTAACATTGGACTTCGTTCTGTAGTAGGAGCAGATCGAGACAAACCATGTCCATCAGTTACAATTCGCCCACTGAAAACATATAAACAATTCTGACAGTAAGCAGGAAATTACACTTAACAATATGAGTTATATTCCTAACAAATTATATTTAATTACTAATATCACATTCACATTCCACATGTGCTGTATTTCAAATAGTAAATCTTTGTATTTTAATATTAATGTTTTTTTCCCTTTCTTCATCATATGTCCATCAGTTGGTATAGATTGATGTCAGGTTTGTTATAAATTGTTGGTTACATACTATCGTAAATTAAATATCTTGACTCATCTCAAATAGCTTTGTTATGTGTACATATAATTTATTTCTATTACCACTCCTAACTGCTTACAGATATAAAGATAAAATTGTGTGCAAATAGTATCATAACATTTTATAAAATTTCCTAAGCTACAGCTGGGCATTCTGCTATTAAGTGTTCTACCAATACACCAAATTCCACATTTACTGTAATCTCTAGTTTTCAGTACATTTGTAACATAATATAATTCAGTGGCTGACCTTCTGCAGCAATTATCTCACTTTTAGTTTATCCTTCAAGTCTCCTTTCATAATCAAAAGAAGGGAGGGATTCTTTTTCATTGATGAGTAAGGCATCCAAGTTTCAAATGCATTGTTCATCATCATCATCATCTTCATCACTACAGATTATCATTTCAGCTGAGACTAGGAACGTACCTACTATCCAACATGCTGGATCTTGCTCCTGACTGTGGAGCAGCCAGCAAATGTTCATCCTCAAGACTAGAAGGGGAAGATTCTTCTCCTTCACTGTAAGTGGCACTGATACTGAGATCACCCAGAAACAATCGACGTACAATGCTACGCCGGTACCATGCCTTAGGGAAGGCCAGAATCTCAGTTAGCCGTCTCATGTCATATTTAAAAGATGCTGAGCCAATGTCTATAATGGCTGCGACAGGGAGAAAAGCATTTTTTAAAAATGTAATAAAGTGGTGTAAACAAAACAATTAACAAAACTGACTAAATGATCCAAATTTATGGTAGCAGTTAATAACAGCACAACTTGAGCATAAATTAAACCTTTCAGTGTCAAGTTACACAATACTGTTGTTTAATGTTACTCCATAAATTGAACATTTACTTCTGATTTTAATTAATGCTCATAGTTAGATTTAACCTGAACACTAGGAAGTATTTTCATTATTTTTGTCCTGAAATCACTTCAGACACTGATATACTGCCCCAAGATCTTGGCATGCTGAATTAACCCTTTCATTTGTAAGCACTTCTTTCAATCTACTGAATCCAGAGATTGAGGACTCTTTCCATCTGCCAGACCCTACAGAGTGAGGTATCTTTCATAATTTACAACTGCAATGAACATAAATTTGGTCCAAAAAATAGGATCTAATGCATCATAATCTTTATTTTCATAACATTCTAATTCAAAACATTCATATGAATCATTTACATCTCTGAGTATAATCCTAGATTTCAACTGGCAAGAAGAAATACTCAACTTACTGGAAAATCGAATAACGGCCTGGCTCTGGTCTGAACCTTTCAATCCCTTTGACTGCTGTTGGTCACACTGAAAGTTGAGTTTACGACTTCGTGATAAATGAAACTTCACAAATTCAACATTCACACTCAAAGAATCTTTCCGTTCACTGTCTGCTAATGGTGACCATTGTGCTTCCTTCAAACCTACAAATGGAGATGATGTGACAGGTAATTTTAGTAAATTAGAATACTGAGAGTCCCACAGGAGGAACACATACTTGTTTTATAACTAAAAACAAGTAAATCAGTATTTTCAAACCTTTACCTCACTGCTTGGAGCAATGGAGAAAAAGAGTAATAATCATGTCAAGAATTACATTCTAGACCAATAAATTTTCTCTACAACATGTTTGCCAAATATAAATCTTACCAGAAGTGACAAAGTGAGTTTCAAAATGAATTTTTCAATATTACAATAATATACCTAGTAAAATCTATTCTTACTGAGAATGAAGTAACATCAATATCACAAAATTAGAAAAATTTCCTATACTTCCCATTGGCTTTACCCAATAAACTGATAATTCAAAACTGACACCGTGGATGATATAAAAAGTGTTATATCTAAGTTATTGCTCAGAGAATTAGACTATTAATTTTATAAGCAGAAAATTAAATTTACCTTCCTGCGCATGTCTATTCAATCACAAACTTCTATGAGAATTCTATGGGTACAAAAACACTAGAAGAAAAACAGTTTGTGGCAGTATCTCATACAATCCTTTACTTGATCATGAAGCAGGAAAGACACACTATTTTCATATAATATCTGATTCTCCATTACGCCTTATAAGTAGGCTACATAAGGTCACTTACCAGTCTTCTTCCCACCACCATAGGGATGGAAGATATATACTGAAAAGTCTGCCAAGCAGCCTGTTACACTTAAACCACCAACAGCTGATGGAGAAGAGCCCATATCAAATCTACTTGTTGAGGAGTCTATACCACTTGGTGGATGATTTGAAGGCCTGCCCTCACCAAACTCACTGCAAATAAATTAAGAGAAGGAAGCCGATGTCAATGCCAATACACGTTGGGCCACAGGTTTTAATCAGATCCCCTGTGCTTAGTGACATATCCACAAGGTGTATGTATGAGGTACATCCTAAAGCTTACCTTCCTAGATGGAATTATATGTACTTTTCTCCTATCTTGTGTGTTATTTATTAGTTTATTAATGTCACTGATGCATTCTGATTCCTAGTTGCAATTCTTCTCTATCAACCATTGTCCTTCTTTCACTCCTCTCTCTGAAACTGCATTCCAGATTCCTTTCATATATCCCCCTTCTGTCTTTTAACAGACTCCAAGGACTTAACACCTAACACCAAAGCTTGCTGCCTAAACCCTCACATCCTCACAATTTATATCACTAAAACATATTATTCTGTGATCTATTCCTTGGCCATCTCCAAAGATATTTTCTCACCAAAATATTGCTTACACATCTTCTTTCACCTGTCAAAACTATATGTACAGGCCAAAATAACTATCTTCAGTTTGAAGATTTCTGTCTTCTGGGTTGTTGAGCTGTGTAGTCTGGTCGATGTTTACCAACGTTTCTGAGGTCATACTGCCTCCGTCATCAGGGCGATGAACAACCCATACGACAGAAATCTTCATACCGCTGTGGAAACCTCAAATCCTACATATCTTCAGTTTACTACTATAAAAAGATTCTATGTGAACAACACAAATAATAGCAGTCCTTGTTATGTTAGCCTCAATTTTCTACCTCCTATGTCTCTTTTAGTTCCAAATATTTTCCTTAGTAGTCTGTGTTCCAGCAATTGCAAATATTTTTTCTGTCATAGATCAAGAGATACTGTTTTGTAAATATATTAAGCCAATGGGAGAAACAGCTATTTTATATCTGACTCAGCATTTAATATGTTACAAAGCGGATAACCAAATTCACTAAATACTGAAGAATTTGCCCAGAATGTATAATTCACAGTATCTTCATATTAAGGAACTCTCACATACAAATACATATCTCATGAGTTTAGAATCTGCAGTCATAGAAAAATTTTATAATAATGGGAACAGTCCTCAAACTGGGAAAAAGTTGCATTCAGCAGAACTTTTATTAACCTTTCCATAATTTGGCTACACACATGACTCTCCTAAAAATGGTTTCTGCAGCTTATAATCTTCAATGTTAATGCAATTTTAATGTATTTATCACATGTATTTATCAAATTATTATAGATTCATATAAAAATAACGCAATTTTAATGTATTTATCACATGTGTTTGGCCTAAAATTATTATAGATTCATATAAAAATAACCTCATGACTTGTGCACTGATACCCAAGCAGTTTTATAGGTAGTATGATATTTCTGAAATAAGGAACAGCACTCAGCACCATCTCATATCTGCATATTGCAACATACATTTTAGAATATAATCACAATGGTGAATATATAATTTAAAATACAGCCAAAAGATCACAGAATCAACTACATAAATTTCTCTAAATATGTATCACAGAAGAGGTGCAGGAAAATTCTGTCAAGATTGATAGCTATGTACCAGAACAGGCGCAGCAACAAAGACAAAGACTACGTAACCGTAAAATAATTACAAATAAAGTCATTTCCATGCTCTAAGCATCTTGTCCATACATCCATAATTCTCAGAGATAAGTCTAGAACAACTCACCTATGCAACTCCTCCTCAGCTCTCTTGGATGAGAAAACAATGTCCAGAGATGGGAGTTGCAACATACACTCCACTCTTGAAACAGGCAGGCAGGAAAAGCGGAAAGTTGATGGCTGCATGTGAAAGTACACTATGACATCAACAGGGAAGGAAGCATACACATAATTGCTTGTTGCTGTGGCAGAAGCCCAAGATGTGTCTTGATCCATTGCAAACATGGTATTCACTGGTCCTGTACATAACAAGATTGGACAGGTATAATTCAGTTTTTGCTTTGAATGCTCCTAGGTGAACTAGAAAACTATACAAAGTTACATATGCTGTGCAAGCATTACCATAAGAGCATCCACATAAACACAGCAACAGATCACAGATTACATAAAAGCACATGCATAGGTCACTCATGAACTCTTAGCTACAGTAACAGACTAATAGATTTAATAGAGTAATAGGGGAAAACAAGTATCCAATAATGCTGCTTGTTCGTTAAATTGCATAGTTATTTTTGTAATGCATACTTAGATCATAATTTACAACAGAAACATTAAACAGATTAGTAATATGAACCATTCACCTACAATAACATGAAATTCATTAAAAAACTACACTGTAAAGAGATAATAAAACACAAAAACATAATTTATCATTACTGGACATTTTCAGCTTTGATTCAGGTTTTCATGGTGGTAAGTATGAAGATGGCTGTCTTCTGGGCTGTAGAACTGTGTAGTCTGGTAGAAGTTAAATTTTATTTTCAGGCTTAATGCCTCACACACATAAATAATAACAATAACAACAATAATAAGCAAAAGTAATCTAGCTACTACTACTAGCAGTGAGAAACATATTTATTTGTGACACACAGCTCCCTCCACTACTATAAGTCAGAAACAATTGTTTATTCAGGATACAACATTTTAAAATTAAAACCACTCTCTCCTAACAAAATGCTACCTGATTCCTAGCATTCCAGATGACAACCTACTGTCCTTTCCAATTCACCTTAACAACTGATTTCAAAGGCATCACATTAATCAATAATTACATCACAATATTAATAGAGTTACAGGCATTTCCTTACAAATAGCAGGGTGAAGTTGACATTGAATTTTCATTCAATGTGACTCTTACCTGATGTTTTGGCTTGTTGTAATGTTGACGGAATAGGTTCTAGTGTCTGTTCCAGAAACTCTAAGATATGAGGACTTATAATTGTCTCTTCTGGAATACTCTGCAATGTCATCCAAGCGAAGAGACTTGCCTTCTTGGTGCCACCTTTGCGTCCCTGAGACAGAGCTTGCTGTGCCATCAGTTCACTTGCCAAACGTGGTGACACATTTTCTTCATGAAGTGTCCTGGATTCATAATGAACCTGAAAATTTAGAAAATAATCAACTTACTGATTCAATACATGTAAAGTCAATGTCAAGTGTATGTTCACTATTGGTGACTTCTTAAAACAAATGTATGAAAACAATTCTATTTCAGTTTCTCAACCTGAGAGTGGCTGCAGTTCTACAACATGGAAAAGTTTGCCTGATTTTATAAAGTACATACAAGCCCCTAAGCAGGATCAGAACAGCATGTTAGTAATGCTCACATTCATGCCAATCTATGTACTCTGGTGATGTTTATTTAAATCTGTGACAATGCCAGCATACTCATTCATCTTAAATCTGGTGGACCTACTTTGCTGGGGTTACCAGAAGAATCTTGTATAAAATACAGAGATGTATACCATGGAAGTATGCGGTAAAAGTCATATATGAAACTGCACAGATGCTGGAATAAGTATGCTAATCACTCATATGTCATGGTGAGAGCTGTATGTCACATCAGACAACATGGTAGAACAGAAGTTTATTTCATCCACCAGACACCAAGGCAATACAAAACACTATGGTTTATCTCTTACCATGCATCATGTAAAACAGAACAGCAACATAACTCTACAACCAACTGTTGGATGAAAAAGTTAAACTTTTGGATGAAAGAGTCATGACCTATTTATTGCAAGTTTAACATCCCAGCATTTAGCCTGGACAGACTGAAGACAGCTATGAAAAAGTCTCAAAACAGTGAATAAACCAGTTGCGACTTGAACTGAGTACCTCCCAAATATAACTGACATGCATTACTGTTTCAGATGCCTCCATGGTGACATAAATTGCCTTATGTTTCAGAATGTGACCATGTTTTACTTACTTTCACATCCAGGCCAGGAATATGAAATATTGTGAGGTCCACTAACTGGGCAACTGTGCTATGCAGGTATCGTAATCTTGTGGTAGATGAAGTTCCATGAGGCTTTTCCTTATTACGACGACTCATGTTTGGACTTGAAGGAGGAAAATCAAACATCCCTCCTGAACAGCTGCGTTCCTTCTTCAAGCGGCTAGTTCTAATTAATAAGAATATGTCAGAAACATAAGTTATAGCTGTGGAAATCTTAAAGTGAAAAGAACAATAAAATCAGAATACACTGCTTTTCAAATATGTTTATTTAGTGACCACAATGTAACTAAATCCATGGTACAGGGCATTTTTTAAATAGCTGGTAGTTACTAAGCTGGTAATGAAATCCCCAGATTTTATAAATACCAAAGATTCATAACAATGTTTATAGAAGTCCACAGTCAGACCCTTTCCTACACTGATCCAATCCAGTCCACATTATCAGATCCTATTTCCCAGAGGTCCATTTTAATGTTGCCCTACCATCTCATATTCCCTTGAGGATTTCCAACTATAATTCTGTAATTCCATTATGTTTGTTGTCATACCTATCTCAAGCTCCCCAATTTAATAATCCCCATAGTATTAAGAGGAGAGCAAAATTTTGAAGCATCTGAAAACAGACAAAAGGCCTACATGTTATTTCACACAAACTTACAATTTAAGTTCATCCTCTTTTGCTGGGTCTTTAGTATGTAGCACACACTTCCCACTGTTAATGAAGACTTTTACATCTAGTTCAAAATCAATATTTGGTTCTTGAGGTTTTTGAAATACTGCTGTGTATGATGCTGGGCTCGTGCTGCCTCCTTGGTCCTTCTGATATGAATCTAGCAGTGGCATACTAAAATAAAGAGAAAAATTTGTATGAAGATTCTCATTTCTATGCAACTGCCATGATTTTATTAACTTTATTTTGTAGAAGGTTTTTTTTGTTGATTTTATTAACTTTATTTTGTAAAAGGGTTTTTTTTGCTACTGTCAGAAGAATTTCCCTGGGATATTAGAATATTATAACATATATTATGATTCAATGAATATGAAAAGTACACTCATTTACTGTTTACTCTTTGCTGTTTACTAACACAAGGAGCCTTGTTGTCATGCTGAATTATAACTCAGTTAAAATTACAATTTTATTGAGTATTTGGTGACTTTATCTTTATTCTTTGTTTTCTGCTTGTCACACATGAAGTGTACCATCATTCACTATCATTTCCATTTATTCCACTGTATTCATTTATATGCTACAATTAAAACATAATGTGGCTAACACGTCCAAATGATATTTTCATTTTTGCTACAAATAACAGGATGAAAAACTGATGAACATTAAAAAATGTGATTACCATAAATCATAATGGTCCAGAACATTAATATAACAAAACAAATGTCTGATAAAGGTAATGAACTAAATTTCTGTTCCCAATAAAAAAATGTACTTTGTAAAAATCTCATATTCTTCCATTTCTTATTCTCAAATCAACTCTGAATGCATACCACTATAACAAGAAAGTCAACAAATCCCACCTATTGTCAATATTATCATAGTTGGCTGGTCCACATGCTGGTGGTCTTCGCCTCAGCTCTACCTTATCACCTGCTGACATCTCTATGTCATCGCCTGTCCACTCTAAGTCCCCTTCTGGGAGACTGAGATCTGAGCCTGCACTTGGAAGAGAGGACTGCCTGCAATCAAAGAACAATTACATAATGGCAACAGAGCTGTGTTCGCTGTGAAGAATGAATATTATGCCCCTTATCATTAAAACCAACAATCAAATATTCACATTTAAAAGATTATCGTTGGTAGAGGTAAAAGCTTCAGTCTGTAGAAAAATACATGCTGCATAAATCTGACCATGGACCAAACCCAAAACTCACTGCTAGTCCAGTGTCTTACTCCAGGAATATCATTTTCATATAATCAGGTAGTTCTCTCAGTACTTTTTCATTTAATTTAAAGTATCTGTTGAGTTTTCTACCAATTCTATGTTACTTATTATTATATAAAGGTGTGTGCATCATTTTATCACCAGATTTTTCTTTCTATTTGTTTTAGCCTTCTTTATGCTTGTTTGCTGTAATAGATGTTGTAACACTCACCTGCAGATGTTGTGTGTATCACTGAATGTAACTCGGGGTCCACTTAAACCTCTAACACGCAGAGAAGCTGATCGTGATGGCCCAGAGTGTGGTGAACTCTCAAAACTTGCAGAATTTCCATTAGAATTGATACTAGCGCCACCTAAGTCATCAGGACTGTGGAGCATACATTTAGAACATGTTATCTCTTACAAAAAACTGTAATATAGCATCACAGATCTATTTAAAAACAGAAAATTTTTCAGACATAACAGAGTGCTTTCTAGGATACTGGTATCTCAAAGAACATATGGTACATTCTAAATTAATAGACGTAGAACATAAAATTTTTAACATGTGATTACAATTGTGCCCATCACTACTGGCAGTACAAAAAACACACACACACACACAAAAACGTTTTATTGCCTTGTACATGTGTAGTAACATTGGTAAAATTAATACAGTGATATTTTCCATTTAT